AAGGCCAAAAATATCAAAAGTATTTGGGAGCTTGTATCTAATCCTTAAAAGATTTTAGGGTTACCTCTTCAGAGGGGGGAACATTGGAGGGGAAGGAATGGGCATGGATTTGATCAAAACACCTTATATACATGTATAAAAATTCTCAAAGTTTTTGTAAAAATTTTTGAAAAAAATGAGCTCATCTCTGGAATACCATAATTCATATTTCAAGGAAGAAAATAATTCTTATTTCATGGATATTAAAGGACTAATATTTAAAACAAGCTCTATTTGTTATTTTTTATTTTATGTGTATGAGTGTATTGCCTGCATATATGTAAGTGCACCTATATCGTGCAATGCTGGAGGAGGTCAGAAGAGGATATCAGATCCCCCGGAACTGGAGTTACAGACAGTTGTTAGCCACCATGTAGGTACTGGGAATCAAACTTGGGTCCTCTACAAGGGCAGTCAGTGCTCTTAACTGCCGAGCCATCTCTCCGGCCCTAAAAGCACTTATATTTGAGCATACAAGTACCATAACCTTGGTATTTTGAAAATAGAAACTTTTCTGATAAATTGATCTTTACAATAGATATTTATCATCACCACCAGAAGAATCAATATATAGAGAGTACATGCAATTGAGAAGGGGGTAGTAAGAGCAGTGTAGATAGGGGAGGGGATCTAAATATGGTCAAAATATATTCTATGAAATTCACAAAACTTCAATTAAATTTTTTAACTTATTAAAAGGATAACTAAATGCAATGTGTTTCTTTGTTTGTTTAAGACTTAAAAACCAGAAACCAATGAACAATTCACAATTCAGGGTCTATTTGCACTTCTACAGGGAATAAAATTTCTCTAGAATATTGTCATTGAACTACATACAGTCTTAAAACCTAAAGAAAATGCTGGCTAAGGACATATCAATAAGAAAAACTGCTGGAAGCTTAAAAGCATAAAGACATTTTTATTTACAAAAGTTTAGTCAAATAGAACATGCTTTTGAAACGCAGTAAAGAGCCTGAACAACAGACAGATACCATACCATTTGATTCAACTAATTTGCCTTTATAGCTTCTATTTCAGACTTTCCCTGTGTTGTCTTAAACTGTGACACTTTAAGGCAAAATATGTAGGCTATGCATTGATTTTTAAGTAGTAAATTAATTTTTATGTTTTTCCTTCAAACATAACTATTAATTTTAGAAGGGAAGTAAATAACTAGTGGTTACTCATATTAGAAGTAGTTAATGCCCATTACCTTATGAGAAAGAAGCTTCCCATCCCCTAAGGGTTTTCCAGTTGATGTTTCAAACAGGTAGATTACTTGAAAAAAAAAGAAAAGAAAGAAAGAGAAAGAGTTAGTTAATGTGCTATGTTAGAATCCTTATTGGTAGATTTCAGTGGAGCTATCATAATCCTTATGTAAAATTAACTTCATGGACTACAAGGCCTCCAACAGCCTAGAAGAGCAGCTACCTAGCTTCCTTATTAGTAACGGGATCACATTTCTTTTTCTTTTTCTTTTTGGGGGTTGTATTTTTGAGACAGAATCACCCTGTAGCCCTAGCTGGCCTCGAACTCACTATGTAGACCAGGCTGGCCTTGAACTCACAGAGATCCGCCTGCCTCTGCCTCCCAAGTGCTGGGACTAAAAGCGTGTGCCACCATGCCTGGCTGTGATCACATTTCTTATGAAAACAGTAGAACTAAATTTTCTTCATAACATCTACTTCCTGATTAAAACTGTTACTAATGGTACAGCATTAATGATCCACAGGCTCACTGATGGCACATCCAATATGGGTGTGATATTAAATTCCAATATCTCTGATTTAGACCAGTATAGCATCATAGACGAGTCATATTCACAAAAGGAAATACATACTGAGTGCCCACTATGATGCTAGGCAATGTGCTATGTGCTGATTCTATTATATACTAGTATGGTAAAATAATTTGTCCTGGGTTCTTGACTGGGAACTTCAAAAACCTTTAAAACTGGGGCAAGAGAGATGGCTCAACAGTTAAGAACACTAAGGGCAAGGGTCTGGGGTTTGGTACCCAGCACCCACATGGTGACTCACAACCATAACTCCAATTCCAGGGGACCTGATGTCCTCTTCTGGACATTGCAAACATGAGTGCACTTACATGCAAATGAAACAGTCATAAGTGTAAAACAAAATAAAATTTCATTTTGTTAAACTCGTCATTTCTGAATTTGGGGGGGGTCTTTTTGAGACAGGGTCTCTCTGTAGCCCCAACTTGCCTAAACTCGCTATGTAGACCAGGCTGACCTTGAACTCAGACATCCACCTGCCTCTGCCTCCAAAGTGCTAGGATTAAAGCAGTGCACCACCACACCCGGCTTAAAATTTCATCAAAAAAAATTTATTATTTTTATTTTGTATGTATGAGTCTGCCTGCATGTATATAAGTGCACCTAGGTCATGCAATTCCACTGAGGTCAGAAGAAGGCATTGGATTCCCCTGGAATTGGAGTTATAGATGGTTGTTAGCTGCCATGTGGGTGCTGGGAACTGAACCTGGATCTTCTGCAAGAGCAGCCAGTGCTCTTAACCAGCCCCAAAATTCATTTTTAAATCCTTAACATTTCCAGAATGATAGGAGCTTCTTTGCTATGCTAACAAGGATAATAGATTCTTCATGAATACTTTTTTTTTTTTTTAACTACAGGATAAGGGCTCACAACCAGAAAACCCAAGCAGTGATTTGTAGGATGGAACTTTCAGATATCTGACCTCAGAAGATGAGAAGGAGACTGGGGATTGAGTTCAATTGAGGGGCCAATGATTTAATTAATCATGCAACTTAATAAACCCCACTAAAAACGATGGACACAGAAATTCCTGGGAGCTCCCTGGCTGTTGATCACATTGATACAATGGGAGGCTGACATATCTAGAAAGGTAAAGTGCAGCCTCTCTGAGTTCTGTCAATCATTTGAGCAAGCTGTAAGTGTGAGTGGGTCACAAGAACCCCTGAATTTATAGTCAGTCAGAAAAGCAAGAGGCTGGCATGCAAAGTGATGGCAATCTAATGGAAGACTACCCTCAATTTTTGGACTGTACTAATTCTGAAGTCAGAATTAGCATTAGAACTGAACTGCAGTATATCCAGTTTGGGAGGAAATGGATTGTCAATACTTGAGATTCTCTATAAATCATTAATATGTTATTGCAAATTGATGGCCTTGTAAAATTTTCAACTCAAAGTTCCAAAATATCAGGTGGCTTGCCTCAGAACTAAGGAGAGGTCATAAAGAACCTATATTTTCTATGAACACTTGCTTTGGGAACTCAACTAGATCCTAGTCTGAGAATTTCCCCAAGGAAAATTCTTGGGAAGGGTTTTAGAACTGTCCTCTCCATATTTCTAGTTAATTTAGGGAAAAAAAGATACATGCTATTATGGTTTAGATTCTAAGTGTCTCCCAAGAGCCACATATTAAAGGTTTGGTTGCCAGCCTGTGGTGCTTATTAGGAGGTGTTGGAATCTAAGAAAGGAAGTCACATCTTTGGGGGGGGGGTGTGCCTTTGAAGGAGATGGTGGGATCTTAGCCCCTTCCTCTTTCTCTTCTTCTCAGACACCGTGAAGCAAGCGAGCAACTTTGCTGTTTACTACCATGTTCTACCACACGTTCCCTGCCATGATGTTCTGACTTGCCACAGGCCCAAAGCAACAGTGCCAAGTGACCATGAACTGAAATTTCTGACACTGTGAGCCCAAATAAACATTTTTTCTTTTCAGCTAACTATCTCAGGTATAAAAAGCTAATACATGTACAAGTTACAGTTTATAAATTATTTACTTTCTATCAGATGATTACTGAAGCATTACTTCATAAGTAGTTTTCTTTTTGAGGAATGTTAGCAATGATTTCTTTTCCTAAATACCAATTAGGATAATTGGCCCCTGTGATGAAATGCATAGATACTGCAAGATTAAATATTTTCCTGAGATAATCAAGAGTTGGTTTTAAGTCAGAACATTTTCTAGGGCGAGCAGATCTGTGAAAAGGTATCTCAATGTTTTGCAATTCAAAACCACTATAACTAGCACTTGGGGGGTGGAGGCAAGTGCCTGGTCTACATAGTGAGTTCCAGGTCAGACAGAGATGCATAACGAAACAAAACAAAACCATTTTTATCATGTCACATCTGTTAGAATGGCTATTACAAAAGCTAAAATAAGAAAAAAGTGTCAGTGAGGATGTAGAGAAATTGGAAATGGAATTCTTACACACTGTTCACTATTAGAGTGCAAAATGGTGTTCTGCTATAGAAAAGAGTTAATAGAGCAGCCTCAAAGGATTACAAATAGAACTCCATGTGATCCAGTAATTCCACTTCTGGGTGTTCACATAAAAGAACCGATTTCAGTAGCTCAAAGAACTATAAGTATTCTCACATTCACTGCATCATTATTCACAACAGCCATGAAGTTATCACAATAAAATTAAAATCATAAATGGGGCTGGAAGTATACTCAATGGTAGAGTATTTGCCTAGCATGGGTGGACTTCTAGTTAAATCCCCAGCTCTGCAAGAAACAAACAAACAAACTTTCAATCTTAAAAAACAAAAAACAAAAAAACAAAAAACTGCTGGAGGCCATAAAATGTTACCAAAATTGCATATTTTTTAATTTAGAAAAACTACACTGGGCATGGTGGCACATGCCTTTTTAAGTCCCAGCACTCAGGAGGCAGAGGCAGGTGGATCTCTGTGAGTTCAAGGCAAGCCTGGTCTATAGAGTAAGTTCTAGGCCATCTGGGGCTACAGGAAGACCCTGTCTCAAAAAGACCAAAATAAATAAATAAATGAATGAATGAATGAATAAATAAATGATGAAACTTGTAATTTTGGGTGTAACAACTCAGTTTCTCTCAAATTATCTGGAAACTCAGAGTAGCCCTTGTGTTCTCAAAATTCCAGTTTCAGAAGTGTCCAGTGTCGATGCAACCGACTCCAACCACCTGTGCATCGTCATCTGCCTGCCCAGCTTTCTCTACCATTACTGCTCTATCAACTATCCTCTTTTGAATACTTTTACCCAGTTCCTTTCCTTCTGTTCATTATGCATATGAAGTGTGTGAAGACTCTAAAGCCATTTTCATTTAATAAAAAACAAAAAAAACCCTCCATCCTAAAATAATACTAATTATTTGCATTTAATCCCAAACTTCCTAATTCCAGCTTTTACAGTTCTTATCCCCTCTTTATGTGCTGTAATTCAACACTCAAATTTACAACATCAATGCAAAAGCTTTTGCCTTTTAAAAAATCATTATTGGCTGGGCGCATAATGATGCATGCCTTTAATCCCAGGACACAGGGGGCAGAGGTGGGTGGATCTCTGTAAGTTCAAGGCCAGCTTTGTCTACATAGTAAGTTCTAGACTGGCCAGGGATGCACAGTGAGACCTTCAAAAAAAAATTACTACTGGATGAAGATTACTTTAGCATTATTTGTAGTTTTTGTTTCATTTTTTTAGACAGGATCACTGTGTAGCCCCAGCTGCCTGGAATTCACTATGTAGACCAGGCTTGCCTTGATGTCATAGAGATCCACTTGCCTCTGCCTCCCAAGTGCTAGGATTAAAGGTGTGCCCCACCACACTTGGCTGTAGTTTTTTGAGAGTTATTAAGAATGGCTTTCTTTTCCTAACTGATAACGGGAGGAATTAGCTCCCATGATGAAATGGGACAGAGATTTCATCAATGATCCATGTGTTACAATATCAAAAGACTATTTTTAGTTACTTAAGAACCTATTTTTATTTAGCCTTCTCCCCCACCCCCTAGCAGCATTGGATGTTCCTGACCTTTTCCCTTTTTTCAAACTCTTGTCATCTACACATAACATGGACTTCCCAGTTTTCTTCTACACTGGGCCATTCTTTATTCTCTTTAGCCAGCTCCTCTAATCTAATCCCTTGCACTAGGGTTTTATTCTTGGTACCTTTCTCTGGGAGACAGACTTGAGCCTAGGGTGATATTGCAACTGTCAGGATCATGTGGTTTCCAGGAATCCAGGCTCTGTAATCTAAAACCCAATATGCTAATGAGGCATCCTACCTGCTATTCTGTGATAGGACGTTAAGTCTGTTATGCTGATAGAATGCTGTTATGCTAATAAGGTATCCTACTTGCTGTACTGTGATAAGATGCTAAACATGATATGCTAATGAGGTATCCTACTTGTTGTGCTGTGATTGGACCACTACCCCTATATAAGCTTGTGCCTTCCTGCAATAAACCAGACCTGTGTCACTGAACCTGGTCTCCTGTGTCTGAATGCGGCTCCGCTGACACAGTCTCCTCACCAGCCCTGGGGTCCGGGTCGGGGCAGAAGCAGCGACGACAGGCGGCAACACAGGGCAAGCAAAAGAGCTGCCTCAGCCCAGGACGAGTGGAGGAGTAGCCTCGCCTGTGAGAACGAAGGAGCGACATCCACGAGAACAGAGGAACAGCCACCACTGGCAGTGACCGCATGGTTCCATTATACATACTTTCCTCAATTACTATCTAAATAATGATAACTCCAAGTTTCTATTCCCATTCCCTACATTCCCTCGCCCTGATATTCTGAAGTAGGTGGCTAGGAAAATTACAGAAGATATGGTGCCCAGGAAGCCTAAACAATGCTTCCTTTCTGCCCTACTTCCTCATTTCTACTCCTATTGTCAACCATGATGGTGGAATCAATAGCTATTAGTTTCTCACTTGAAAGAATTGTTGGGGCGGGGGATTGCTGGACTGTTAGAGTGATTCTCTAAATAATTTCCAAGTTATTCCAGTCTAAGGTTCATTCCAAATGATGACACACCACACAGAGAATTACAAAAACTGAAGACTGAAAAGTGACATAAATAATCAGTCACAAAATGCACAATTTATATAGATTGTAAAAATGCTAAAATATATATAACATGAGATATAATTCTACAAGACCACACTTTTAATACATTCATGATTAGCTTTTAGGAAATCATAGGATGCTGCATTTGAAATCACTGGCTGTATTCACAGGCAAGTAATTACATTTGAAGATTATCAAGCATGCCAAGAAAAAACAAAATACTGTAACAGTATTTTTAAATAAGTCTATAAATAAAAATTGGAAAATTTAGGCTTCCATTTAAAGTCAGATCTATCTACCAGAGGCTGGACTTGTATTTCAGTGTTCATATGGAACAGAGATTGACAGAAGGAACTAAGAAGTTGGGAGTGGAAAGCATTGCTTCCAAACATATGCAATTGCTCCCTTTCATCCCATATACCCAAATCTTTTGTCTCACACTACCACCCACTTTAATAGCAAAACACATCTGTGAAGGGTAGGTAAGAAGAAGGAAGGCAAAAGCTGTAAGTCTAGTACCTAACCACTAAAAGATGTATTCAAATCCATCCCACATGTATTACTTGAGTATGTACTTTTACAATAGAGTGCTGTGCTAGTCACAAGGATCTTCTTACAAAGGAGCTCCCAAGTTAAGAAAAAAACACTGACACCACATGTAGATAGCCCCCTTCTGCAGGATAAAGATGCTACATACTTCAGTTGTGTTTTCTGTTGCTTGCATAGACCTCAACTTAGCCAAGAGGGAAAAATTTTCCTTGTCATTTTATGTAGGTTCTACAATCATTTTATTTTAGTCTTACTGATAAAGCTTCATAGTTCTTTCTAGCTCTAACATTCTGTGAATTACTAAAGGATTAAACAATGAAATGTTTCATATGTGGATTACAGAAAAATTTAGAAAAAGATAGTTATCTAGAAGTACACATGCTTTATTAGAGCTACTATCTAAACTAGTTGGTGTTCAGTAAGAAAAGTAAGCAATTTATAATGATCATGGAGATTTTACAATTTAAGTTTACTAGGAAAAAATCTTTCTTCAAAAATTATTATTATTAGCAATTATACGGTCATCTTAGTTTTGTCTGTTATCTAGCTACTATTTATTTCATTACCTTTTTTCCTCATTTTTAGCCAGAAAAGAAGTCTTAAAACAAAGAAAAAAAATCCACTTGGGCCTGGCATGGCAGTGCATGCCTTTAATCGCAGCACTTAGGAGGCAGAGGTGGATCTCTGTGAGATGGCCTGGTCTACATAGCGAGTTCCAGACCAGTTGGGGTACAGGGAGACCTTGTCTCAAACAAAACAAACAACAGCAATAAAAGTCAACTAAAAAGCCCCACCCTCTCTTGGAGATGTCCTAAGGCTTGAAGAACTACCCTAACTCTATCTAGAATTTTCCTAGCAGTATGAGAGTGACACTGGCTGAAAGCACTGAAAATCAAAAGGTAAGGCAGTGTTCTAGCTCCTGAATTGGGTCTTCCATGTCATGAGCTCAACACTCAAGTCAGATTTGTTTTAGTAATCTGCCACAGCAATGTACAATGTTTCACAATATATACAGAAAGAGATCATTTAGTATTTTTAAAGTAGGTTTTAAGGCTCAGTCAAGTCTTCTCGTTTACTTCTAACCCCACTGGTTCCTTCCCTTTCACTCTTCTCTAAATATAAAGCATTCAATCTTTGGTCCTCTTCTCTATCTACACTTACTTTCTATTAGTCCAAATCTTTCTTGAGGCCTGGACTTGTTTACTCTCCACCTCTGGCTGGATGTCTAAGAAGCATTTCAGCATATAGTGGCAAAATAGAACTCTTGATTTGCAGGCCTACTCCAAACTTCCCCCATCTCTGTCCTCCATTTCACTTGCCGATAAAAATCTAGGGTAATTGCCTTGTCTCCCTTGTTTCCCACATGTCTACATCCTTACCATGGCTAAGTCTTTACATGATCTGGTTCTTGCCTCTCTCTCAGCCTTCCTCTCCTATTGCCTGGTTCATGTTGACTCTTCAGTGTGCCAATCACTCCCACTTCAGAATCTTTCCACTTCTTTGTTAAGAGTCCCTTGCATTGCCTCCAGAACTCTTCATTCCTGCCCTCTGCACTAGTCTCTTCAGAGCATGTATCATTAGCCAATAGTTAATTACATATTTGTTCATTATCTTTACTAGATTGCCTACCTTGTTCACTGTTGTAACTATAGCTTCTAGAAAAGTACATGGTATACAATTAGCACTCAATAATATCTGCTTGATAAATACATCTGTGGTATAGCATTGTCCTAAATCAAATGGTTTCACTGTACAAGGCATTCTAAAACACTGAGCATACTTATTTTTATTTATACATACTAATAAGGCCTAGATTTTTAAATAGAAAATTTAAATTATTCACACCTTTATTTTACTTCATTAACTTAAAATATTAGCTTATATGTATATATATATATAGGTGAACAAAATAAATGTCACAATGAAGAACAGTATTTATCATATTACCAAATGAATAGGAAAGGTATTTTAAAAGTTTAAAACCTTAAAAATTAACACATATTTTAGGATCGCAATCTTTGAAATCAAATTTTCTGATGAACATAAAGATTTATTTACCACTGCTCTTGCATATCAGACATGTATTTATTCTATCAGTATGACAGTTTTAGTTCTTATCTCCTGTTTAGAATAAATTAGGAAATCATAATTCCACCATATGGTAATGTATTAATAGATGAGGAAAGGAAAGTTTATGAAATTTTTATAGCATTACAAACTTCTTGAAAATTTGACATGAAAAAAAATCACAAAATATACTTACTTTTCTCATCAGCTTTGTCTTTTATTGCTACAGTATCATTACTCAGAGACACAGTCTGTGCATTCAGAATATCTGTTCTCATTCCAGGAAACTTGGGAGAAGAAATGAAGCGCCCCTCATAAGAATGCAGATAGATGCCACCACCATCTACCAGAAGAAAATGTCTAAAGAGAAAGGATCAAAGTACTTTCTAAACAGGAAGATGCTACATTTTCATTTCTTTTTTTTTAACTCAGCAAAATTATTGTTTTATTTATTATTATCATTATTATGTTATTATTGATGTATATAATAATAATGTTATTATCATTGTTATCATTACTTTGAGAGAGGGTCTCATATAGCCAAGGCTGGTCTCAAATTCCCTATGTCATGAAGATAATGTTCAATTTCTGATCTTGCTGCTTCTGCTCATCAGGTGTTGGTATTACAAGTGTGTGCCACCATACCTACTTTATGTGGTACTAGAGATGGACTCCAAAACTGTATGCAAGTAGCAAGCACTCCACCAACTGAGCTATATGTTCAGCATTATTATTATTATTATTATTATTATTATTATTATTATTATTATTATACAAGATGTCACTCTATAGCCCAAGCTAGCTTGGAACTCACTATATTGTTCAGATTTGCCTCAGACTCAAGACAATTTTCCTACCTCAGTCTCTCAAGTGCTGAAATTACAGATGTGAGCCACCATGCCTGGCTCTAAGTCCCGATGTTTCAACCCCATGTAGAATCGCGCAATAATTTAACAAGATGTTTATGAGGAAAACTTGAGCATGTTAACTAACTCAATAGTAGCAACTAAAAACAAAAGTTACTATTGATCTTAAATATTTATGAAATTTTAATTGCATCAGGATAACATTTTGAAGAGAATGAATAAGAACGTAAATAGCTATGCTAGGGTGACCAAATTTTAAGTATTTTTTTTTAATTAAAATGTTTACAGTTACATAAAAAAAAAAAACTAGAGGACTCCAAAATCTTAGGAAATAGCAAGAGCTGATAAATTAAGGCCTTGGGGAGACAGCTGTTGGTATAGTGCTTGTAGTGCAAGCACGAGGACCTAAGTTCAGATCCCCAGCACATAATATGCAGGACACAGTAGTGTACTCCTTGCAGTCCCAAAGCTGGGGAGGCCAAGATCCCTAGAGTTCACTGGGCGGCCAATCTACCCAAATCCATGACCTCCAGATTCAGTAAGTGTCTCAAAACACAAGGTGAAGAACGACAGAGGATGATACCTAGCATTGGCCTCTGGCCACTGTATACACATACACCATGCACACAAATGCACACACACACGAATGCATACACACAAATATACCACACACAAAGTGGGGAGACACCCAATGCTCATCTCTGGCCTACATGTGTATATGTACCCCATTCACATGAGCACACATATACCACAAACACACACACACACACACACACGCACACACACACAAATGCTACCATGATCAGCATTGAAAGAATTTTCTATTGTAAACAAGATAGCAGCTTTTAAACTTCTTGTGAGTAAATACTTTGTTTCAATGGTTAAACATCTCTGATTATATAAACAAGACCAGTGGTAGGCAGTAACTAAAATAAGTTTTATCTAATTATTTATGTCATTAACAAATGCTTAAATTACAAACAAAAAATACATACATATAAATTTATTCAGAACTATTAGAATGAAAAGCATTTCAGAGATAGCATTTTTAAAATAGCTTGCCCCTTATCTTTTATGTGGTAAAAATGACTTACCTTAAAAAATAATTATATAACTATAAATAAAACTATAAGTAAATCATATATTTCTACTTCACTAAACAGATGATAGTTTGACATAACATTCTTATTTTTTAATATTTTATTTATTATTTTTATTATATGTATATGAGTGCATGTGTGTTAAGTGCACACATGTCATGCAATGCCCAAGAAGGTCAGAAGAGAGTGACTGATCCCCTGGAACTGGAGTTATGGACAGTTGTTAGCTGCCATGTGGGTGCTGGGAACCGAACCTGGATCCTCTGCAAGAGCAGTCAGTGCTCTTAAGAGCTGAGCTATCTCTCCAGCCCCCAACATAGTATTTTTCTTGATCACTCAAGATCACCAGTATAATGATCACGTTCTTCAGTAACTAAATGATAGTTTGGATCTTCATAAGACTCTGCTGGAGCTCAGAATAATGACAGAACCCAGCTGCTGTTCTGTTCTGTTCTTTCCCACCTCCTTGTCAACAGTCACTTTTCTTCCTGTAACTGTGCCAGCCTCAAACAGGTCACCAGCATCATTCCTGTTCTGGTTTGCTATTTATAAAAGTTATGGGCTAGAAAACCTGACAATAAACACTATTAAGTACTGCTTAGGTGACAAAGAGATAAGGAATAAAGTGCAGATAAGGATTTAGTGTAAAAATTTTATGTATAGCTCCTTTAGGTAATTGGCAATTAAATTTGCATACTATGTAAAGTTTTATTGGGTAGCTTTTATATACTTCATTTTAGCTAAAAGGCTAAAAAGCAAATGTAGAAGCTTTTGCTTTTTGTTTTTTTTAATGTGTATGCCACATGAGTGTGGGTACTCATGGAGGCCCGAAGAGGGAGTCAGATTCCCTGGAGTTGGAGTTATAAGCAGTTGTGAGCACCTACCATGGGTGCTGGGGACTGAACTTGGGTCCTCTGGAAGAGCAGCAAGTACTCTTAAATGCTGAGCCAGCCCCTGGTGTAATTTAATCTCTGATTACTAGGGGATCATTGTACTTAATAAGCTGAATGACAGTTTTCATTTTAAACAAGTGAGGGACCCTGGAGTAAAAGTCCTAATTTGTTCATGTTAATGGACCAGAATCTCTTAGTCCTATGAATACAGAAGGACTTGACAGAGAATATTACTTTTCAAACGTCAAGTCATACCCCAGAAGTAGCTCATGAAATCAATAGATTCCATCCAATACTGAAAAGCAAAAATAGAGCTAGGGCTATTCCTCAGTCTCTAAGTGTATGCTCATTACTAATTGATCTAAGAGTATTTTTCTGTTTTTAAATCTTAAACATATAAAAGAAACACATTGAGCCAAACAACTATTAACCCATCTGTGAGATGTTTAAATAGTGCTTTATTGCTCCATACAGTATCTTAACCATGAATCCAACAGTTAAAATATTACAAGCAAATTACCTTTCTGCCTGCAGAATTAAACTAACAGTTCCTTCTTTGAGATCAAATATAAGTGGTGTATTCCAGTTCTTCGTACTAAAAGGCAAGTAAAATAAATGTTATTAACATGTAAAAAATAAATTTTAATACATAGGTGGGTACTCATCTTAAATAGTAACTTTTTAAAATTATTTAATAACCACATGATTAGAAGAAGCATTTCCTTACAGCATTAACATATTCAATAACAACTGCCAGAGCAAAGATGCATCTCTTTCAAAATTGGCTATAAATATTTAGGGTCACAGCTGAATTAATACAGTTATACAATATTGAACTCAGTATAAACCCTGTAAGACATAAAATTGAATGAGATTTTAAACTTTAAAAAAGCTCTCCATTTCAAGCTGGGAGTGGTGATGCACACCTTTAGTCCCAGCACTCAGGAGGCAGAGGCAGGCCGATCTCTGTAAGTTCAAGGCCAGCCTGGTCTACATAGTGAGTTCCAGGCCAGCTGGGACTACAGGGAGACAGTCTCAAAAAGGAAAAAATAAAAAATAAAAGAGCTCTCCATTTCATTTTAAAATATACTGTTTCATACAGAATAACTCAATTTTAATGTTAATACTTAGATACTTGCACATGCTCTCTAATCTCTGTGTATCTGATTATTGCTAATCATAGTCGGTTGTTTTGAGATCCACCTAAGCATGGATATAAAATCATCAGGTAGATCTCAATGGTGTTTCACCTCTACTAATTAACATGGAAATTTTTATGCTTCTTCCTCAAATATAACTCATTTTTTTATTTGTTGATTTTTTGTATTTCATGCAGAACATCCCAAACAATCTTATTCATCTATATATCCACATCCCAAAAGGCACCCTCCCTAGACCCTCCCCCACCACTGAAGCCCAAATACTCTATAGTTCCTGTTACTATCCACTGTGTTATCGGCGCCCCCAGCCATTCTCCAGTGCTTGTCCATCCACTGAATCTAGTCAGCCTATCTAGAGTTCCTTGCTTTAGGAAAATCAGCTCTTCCTCATCTAGCACCGATCAGTTGCCAATATTCCTTGAGATAAGATTGGGGTCTGCTGTTCATTTTCCCAGTTCTATGCTGGGTTACTGTCTGGGAGACTCTTGGGCCACCCTGGCCAACAACTCAAAGGAAAGTATCATCTGTCTGGCATTGTTTCTTGTTATGTAGCCTTTAGCTATACATATGGACTCTTAAAAAATTACATTGACCCCTGTAATCTTTGGTTATACTTTCTTTTTGGGTGTTTAAGACGATACAGTTGGCCCAGGTACACCAATTTATTTGTACTCTTAAGGTCATTTGAGGATCTGTTCCTTAGGGGTAACATGGGCTTGGGAGGAGCCCCTGGCTCCTTTCTTTTACCAGTTCCATCTATATGAAGATAATTCAAAGGTCCTGCTTGACCGTGGCTGGCTTCACTTGGAAGCACAGAGGAAATGTTTCCTCTGTGTTGACCCTCCTCTTTGTAGACTGGACACTGGTTTAAGTCCATCTGGTGGGGTCTACATGGCCTCCTTGATCAAGAGGGCAGGTGATGCACCACAGTTACAGGACATTTTGAGATGTTCATAGTCCCCTGGAGCTTAGTTGACCTAGGAGGGCAAGGAGCAAAAACTCTCCTTTATGTCCCTCTAATAAAATTAGTATAGGCCTCAAAGTATGGCTGTTAAACATCCAAGAAGGTTAGTTCCACCAGTCTGGTACTTTTAATTACTGTGTGCCATATACATAAAGCTTGGACAAAAACCAATTGTTGTCAGATAAACCTTACCTAGACATATTTCTTGAACTGGTATGTTTAATTTGTCAGTAGGCTGTTCAATTAATATGGTTCCCCCTGTTTTTTTAAAATTAGCTAGCCATTATTTATCTCTAGCATTGCCTAACCCTTCTACTGTGGTTTCCCCATCTAAAGTGCCCCCATTTTTCCATTTCTTCCTTAATAATACCCTTCTCCTATGGTCCCACCTCTTTTGAGCTCCTTCTTTCCCTTTATCCCCAAGGTTCTTTGTATAACCTTCCCTCCCCGTTCCCCTTAAAATAACCCCATTTTTATCCATAACTCCCTTATTAATGCCTATTTCCTACTGTTCTTCTCTTTCAGGTTCTTTCTTTTCCTTTACCTCCCTGGTTCCTTTGCATTATCCTGGTTCCTGTAGTTAAGTTTGGATACATACTCACTTATCAGGATTTGGTGCTAGGATCCACATATGAGGGAGAACATACACCATTTATTTCTTCTGTGTTACTTCACTTAGTATAACAGTTTCTAGTTCCATCCATTTACCTGCAAATTTCATGATTTCATCTTTCTTTACTGCTGAGTAAAACTCCATCGTATATATATTTTCATTATCCACTTATCAATTGAGGGACACCTAGGTTGCTTACATCTCTTAGCTATTGTGAAAAGAGCAGCAACAAACATGGATGTACAAGTGTCTCTGAAATAAGACGAGTTCTTTGGGTTATATGCCAAGGAGTGGTATAATTGGGTCAAATGGTAGGTTCATTTGTCATTTTTGAGTTCTCCACATTGCTTTCTATAGGGGTTGAACAAATTTGCAATCCCACCAGTAGTGGATGAGTATTCCCCTTTCCCCACATCCTCTCCAACATTTGGTATCACTTGTTTTCTTGATCTTAGCCAGTCTGACTGGGGTAAGATGAAATCTTAAAGTGGTTTTAATTTGCAGTTCCCTAATTACTAATGATGTTGAACATCTTTGAAGATGCTTCTTAGCCATCTTTATTTATTCTTTTGGAACTCTTTGTTCAGCTCCTTAGCCCATCTTTTAATTGGGTTACTTCCTTTCTTGATTCTTTTGTTTGTTTGTTTTTTGAGTTTGTTATATATCCTAGATGTTAAATCTCTGTGAGATGTGCTGCTGTTGAACATTTTCTCCCATTCTGTGGGTTTGCTCTTCACTTCCTTGGTTGCTTCTTTTGATGTACAGAAGCTTCTGAGTTTAATGAGGTCTCATTTGTTGATTCTTGACCTTGTTTCCTGAGCAATTGATGTCTGGTTTAGAAAATCCTTTCCTATACCTGTATCTTGTAGGTTATTGCAGGTGTTTTCTTCTAACAGTTTCAGGTTTCAGGCTTCACATTGAGGTCTTTGATCCATTTGGAGGTGACTTTTGGGCAAGGTGAAATATGGGGGTTTAGTTTCATGCTTCTACAGGTGGAGATCCAGTTTTGCCAGTACCATTTGCTGAACATGCTGTCTTACCTCCAGTGAATGTTTTTGGCCCCTTTGTCAAATATCTGGTGCCTGAAATTCAATGTACTCATATTTGGGTATTCAATTTTGTTCCATTGATCTACGGGTCTATTTTTGTGCTAGTACCATGTTTGACTATAGCTCTGTAAAAAATTTGGTATAGAGCCGGGTGTGGTGGCGCACGCCTGTAGTCCCAGCACTTGGGAGGCAGAGGCAGGAGGATCTCTGTGAGTTCAAGGGCAGCCTGGTCTACAGAGTGAGTTCCAGGACAGCTCAGGCTACAGGGAGGCCCTTTCCCAAAAAAACCAAAAAAAAAAAAAAAAAAATCTGGTATAGTAATCCCCCAGCGTTGGTCTTAGTGCTCAGGGTTGCTTTAGCTATCCAAGGTCTTTTCTGCTTCCATGAGACACTAAGGATGGTTTTTTCCCAGATCTGTGAAGAATGCCATGGGGAATTTAATTGGCATTGCATCAAATCTATAAATGGCTTTTGGTAAGATGGTCATTTTCACAATATTAATTCTTCCAGTCCATGAGCATGAGAGTTCCTTCCATCTTCTGATGTCTTAATCTTTCTTTAAAGACTTAAACTTTCCACTGTAGAGGTCTTTAATGCCTTTGGTCAGATGTATTCCAAGATTTTATTTTTTTCTTGTAGTTACTGTGAAAGGGATTGTTTCTATGTACTCTTTCTCTGATTGCTTGTTATTGGTATATAGAAAGGCTATAGACTTTTGTAGGATAATTTTGTAACCTGTGACTTTACTGAAAGTGTTAATGATTTCTAGGAGTTTTATAGTGGAATTTTTGGCATCTCTTAGATATAATAACATATCATCTGCAAAAAGGATAATTTGGTCTCTTTTCCAATTACTATGCCTTTAATTTCCTTCTCTTGTCTTATTGCTCTTGCAAGAGTTTCAATCATGATTTAAAAAGGAGTGGAGACAGTGGACAGCGTTGCCTGGGTCCTGATTTTAATGGGAATGCTTCCAGTTTTTCTCCATTTAGAATGATGTTGTATGTGGGTTTGTTATATATGGCTTTAATTATGTTGAGGTATGTTTCCTCCAGTCCATTCCCTCTAGGACTTTGAACATAAATGCATGGTGAATTTTGTTAAAGGCCTTCTCTGCATGTATTGAGATGACCATGTAGTTCTTGTCTTTGAGTCCATTTATATAATTTATGACGTTTATTGACTTATATATATTGAACCATCCCTGCATCTCTGGCATAAAGTCAACTTGATCATGGTGGATGGTCTTTTTGATGTGTTTCTGTATGAGGTTTACAAGTATTTTGTTGAGAATTTTTGCATCTATGTTCATTAAGGATATAGGTCTATAGTTTTCTTTTTTGGTTGTATCTTTACCTGACTGGTATTAGAGTGATGCTGGCTCCATAGAATTTGAAAGTTCTCCCTCCATTTCTATCTTTTTGAATAAATTAAATAGAATTGGATATAGATCTTTGTCTGGTAGAATTCTGCTGTAAATCCATCTGGTCCTGGGCTTTCTTTAGCCAGGAGGTTTTGTATTACTGTTTCAATTTCCTTATGTCTTATAGGTCTGTTTAAGCTGTTGATCCCTTCTTGTTTTAGTTTTGGTGATTCCCAAGCTTTTAGATACCCATGCATTTCTTTTAGGGTTTCAAATTCAGTAGCGCATAGGTTTCTAAAGTATTCTCTTATAATGTTCTGGATCTTCTTGGTGTTTGTTGTGATGTTTCCCCTTTCATCTCTGATTTTGTTGATTTGGAGGTTCTCTTTCTTTCTTTTGGTTAACTGGGCTAGCAGTCTATCAATCTTGTTTATCTTTTCAAAGAA